AGATGGAGTCTTGCTCTGTCACCCAGGCTGGAGTGCACTGGTGAGATATCAGGTCACTGCAACCTCCACCTCCTGGGTTCAAGTGATTCTCCTGCCTCAGCCTCCTGAGTAGCTGGGATAAGGCGCCCGCCACCTCGCCCGGCTAGTTTTTTTTGTATTTTTTAGTAGAGACCAGGATGGTCTCGATCTCCTGACCTCGTGATCCGCCCGTCTCGGCCTCCCAAAGTGCTGGGATTACAGGCTTGAGCCACCGCGCCCGGCCCCGGCTCTTAACATTTAAAAAAAAAATTTTTTTTGAAGCAGGTTCTCGTTCTGTCACCCAGGGTAGAGTGCAGCCTTGAACTCCTGGGCTCAAGCGATCCTCCCATCTCAGCCTCCCAAGTGGCTGGGACCTCAGGCACGCACCACCATGCCTGGCTATGTTTAATTTTTTGTAGAGGTGTGTTTTCCCCATGTTGCCCAGGCTGTTCTCAAACTCCTGGGCTCAACAGATCCTCCCGCCTCAGCTTCCTGAGTAGCTGAGACTATAGGTGCATCCACCACGCCTGGCTAATTTTTGTACTTTTTGTCAAGACGGAGTCTCGCCATATTGCCCAGGCTGGTCTCCAACCCTTGAGCTCAAGCAATCCTCCCGCCTCAGCCCCACAAAGTGCTAGAATTATAGGAGTGCGCCACTGTGCCCTTCCTCAGTTTCCCTTAATCACCGCTTTTTAAAGACTCTGTCTCCAAATACAGTCACATTCTTATCCCTGGGGATCAGGATTTCAGCATATGAATTTGGGGTTGAGGGGGCCGGGCCATAATTCGACCTATAATATCCTGGGATGAAGAAATGAGGCACAGACCAGGCGCGGTGTTTCACGCCTTAATCCCAGCCCTTTGGGAGGCCGAAGTGGGCAGATCACTTGAGGTCAGGAGTTCGAGACCAACCTGGCCAACATGGCAAAACCCCGTGTCTACTAAAAATACAAAACTTAGCCAGGTGTGGTGGTGAGTGCTTATAATCCCAGCTACTCCGGAGGCTGAAGCAGGAGAATCACTTGAACCCGGGAGGCAGAGGTTGCAGTGAGCCGATATCGCGCCACCGTGCTCCAGCCTGGGCAACAGAGCAAGGCTGTGTCTCAAAAAAAAAAACAAAAACAAAACACCCTCCTTCAGATAAGTGTGAAGCTTAATCGGTTATTGTTTGTGTCCCTAGCTGGGACCAGGGCACAGGCCGCCTGCTTTGTGTCTGTGTCCAGTGCTCAGCGGGCAGCCTGGCACAGGGTAGATGCTTATTTTTTTTTAGTGTTTTGAGATGGAGTTTCACTCTTGTTGCCCAAGCTGGAGTGCAATGGTGCGATCTCAGCTCACTGCAACCTCTGCCTCCCGGGTTCAAGCGATTCTCCTGCCTCAGCCTCCCGAGTAGCTGGGATTACAGACATGCACCACCATGCCTGGGTAATTTTGTATTTTTAGTACAGACGGGGTTTCTCCATGTTGGTCAGGCTGGTCTCGAACTCCCGTCCTCAGGTGATCCGGCCGCCTCGGCCTCCCAAGGTGCTGGGATTACAGGGGTGAGCCACTACCCCAGCAGGTAGATGCTTATTAAGTATTCAGGGGCTCCATGTCCGCTTCGGCCCAGTGGTTACAGAAGGGCCATCCTCAGGCACCAACTGCTTGTGTCTGGGTCTCTAGCATTAGAAATAGGTGCTCCCTGGGTTGGAGGCAGGACAAGCCAGCCCGCATCCCAGCATCCTTGGACTTTCCCTGAGACCACCTGCAGGGACAGGCAGCTCATTCATCCACTCGATATTGAGTGCCTACTGTATGCCGGGGGGCTCTGCTGTCCCATCATGGTCACACTTCTTTCCTCCCATTTATGCAGAAATGGCCTTAGCTGGGAAACAGCAGAGCGGGTGTCAACTTGCACCTTTTTTTTTTTTTTTTTGAGACAAGGTCTTGCTCAGTTGCCCAGGCTAGAGTGCAGTGGCATGATCTCGGCTCACTACAGCCTCGACCTCCTAGACTTAGGCAATCCTCCCAGCTCTCAGCTTCCTGAGAAGCTGGGACTACAGGTGTGCACCACCAGACCTGGCTAATTTTTTAGTTTTTTTGTAGGGGTGGGGCCTTGCTGTATTGCCCAGGCTGGTCTCTAACTCCTGGGCTAGCCGGGCACGGTGGCTCATCCTCTAATCGCAGCACTTTGGGAGGCTGAGG